CTGTTACGGAGATATGGCCGTTCAAAGTTTCAATGGTTTTCCATAGACTTAAGCTTTAAAGCGTTTCATCCAGGTTGCCAGTAGCAAACAATGAAGCACGCTCTGCTGGACAAACTAAGTAATTACACCATTTCAAGCATTTTGTTTGCGTTATATGCTCTGTAAAAAATTTTCATATTGGCGGCGTATCGGCGGCATATTCGCCGATACCGATATATCGGCGACAGGCTCATATCGGCTGATAATATCTGCGAAACGATATATCGGTCGGGCTCTACTCAACAGGGTAGGTTTTAGGTAAAAATGAAACGTAATAAAATAACTCAAATGAATGTCCATGCATCTTCCCCGAAGCGGTTTCAAATGAGCTTCAAACTAATATGTTTGAGTAGCGTTCTTGAAATTGTATACATTTTGCCCTGTGACATCTGTTTTTGCAGTATATTGTTTGTCAACACATTGTTTCTCCTCATTTTTAAAAACATTTCCTCCACTCCATTACCCTTCACATCACTGCTGGAGTGGCTGCTGCACAACCTGCAGATTAACCCGCAGAAAAATGCAACTCTGTCTAGAAACAGATGCAGGGAAATGGGTTTTGTGGGATGTTTGTGCCTTACGAGGTTTTTGGAAGTGAAAGAATAAAGAGCCAAAAAAGATAAATGTTTTTTTTTCCAGTTGCCATGAATCCTTAGTAATAATAATTCACTACCAGGAAAACAAGCATTCAAATGCAAATATGGAATTAACATTAATCTGGGAGAAAAAAACAAGCTCAAAGAGTGAGAGAGCATCAAATTGTCAGGTCACGTCCTGATCTCATACCAGCTATATGACTAACACTTTTTTTTAAAGCTTGTGGTGATGCAATAATATCGGCGAAACGATATATCGGTCGGGCTCTAGTCTCTACAGTGTAAAACATGTTTGTTATTTTAATGATAAAACACTAAAAATGTCACAGTAAAACCACGTTAATTTGTAAAAACGTTCCCTTACTATATACAGTGGTTGTCAATATATTATAACAAAACATATTTTAGTGTTTCACTAAGCTGGTATACATAAATTTTGTTCTGTAAATTTAAAGTTCAACTGTATTTTTTATGCTAAAGTTTTGGCTACTGCGAACATTTGTTTTATTGTAAACCTCACAGATTGTTTCTTTTTTTACAGTGTAGACATAAACTGTGTAGGATCTCAGAAAAATAAAACTGCTTCATGACTTGTAGGTATTTTCTAGCACTTCATAGAATCAGAATCAGAAGAGCTTTATTACCAAGTATGTTTACACACACAAGGAATTTGACTTGACGACAGGAGCTTCCAGTGTAGAAGAAAGTACAGACATACATAGGAATAACACAGTAGGGATGTAATATATATAAAAAAAATAACTAGAAATAGAAACATCAATAGGAACATCTCACTATGGGTGAAAAACAAAGTTCATGACAAAATAGAAGAAAAACGTAACTTGGTACTAATAGTTTGCTGAAGTAGAAAAGAGGAACAAGCCACAATTTTAAAGTTACGGTTAGTTCCTATAGGTCTACTATATGCCACACTGGTGAAAATGACATTATTGTGTTGAAGAACTCATTTTACTCTTCTGACTGCAGTAGTACTCAATTATAAAAAGTCTTTAATTTATATAATTCACTCAAAAATGAACATTGTCATTTACTCACCAAACCTGACATGACTTTATTTTAAAAAAGATCTTTTGAAGAACTTTGGGATCCAAACAACATTGGACCCCATTGACTTCCATTGTATGGATGAAAAGATACTGAGACATTTCTCAAAATATCTTTCTCAAAAAAGTAAGGAAGTCATGCAGGTTTGGAATGAGTGCGAGTAAACATTGACAATTTTCATTTTTATGTGCAAACATTATTTTGAGCTCTGTTAAAGAAAGGGGTCATATGGTGCTGCTAAAAAGAACAGTATTTTGTGTATTTGGTGTAATGAAATGTGTTTATGCGGTTTAAGTTTCAAAAAACACATTATTTTCCACATACTGTACATTATTGTTTCTCCTCTATGCCCCGCCTTTCTGAAACGCATCGATTTTTACAAAGCTCATCGGTCTGAAAAAGCAAGGTGTGCTCTGATTGGCCAAAAGGAAAAATTGATATCGCATCATATGACCCCTTTAACATAATAATGTTAATCAACTTAATATTGTGTGTAATTTAAATTAGTTGAAACAACCTCTTTTTTGAGTAATCATCGACTTCATTTGTTTATGCTACAAATTATATCCTCGGTGTAGTTTGTTGGTTAAACAATTTCATTAGGCCTAGTTGTCGTCATGTCTCAAAAGATTGATGCAAACTGTTGCAGTACCTTTTTTTTTTTTTTGCCAAAACATTGTTTAATGTGCAGCATCTAATGCTGACGGTTGCCACAGAAAATAATTTTGACTCGTACCCCAGTGTTTGACCTCTGCATTTCCATTATAGAAGGGCTGCTGACAGATTCTTGTAATTTCACTGGTTTAAGAGCAGTTTCACAAATGTTTTATATTGAAACCTTGCATTTCAAAATGCTGTAGCATGACTTCAACATGTTGCTCTGTAACAAAATCATTTACAAAAGGGGAACAAAATCTCCCTCTGTCTCCCTCAAAAGATGTTTGTCACAATGCTGCACTCATTTCACGGCTTTTCTAGCATGCAGTCTATGCGCAACTGATTGTATATTGTCAACCTATTTACGATTGTCGGCATACTCTGTGATGCACACACCATATAAAATATTAAACCATATAGCATGCTGTAGTTTAAATAATAAAATTGACTTTGACTTAAGCTATATGTCAAGTTTAAATAATTTAAACATGATTTTGTGGTTTGTGCAACTCTTTAGTAGGGTATTTTCAGTCCTGAAAATCATATTTTGACTGTGTGAAATTATGCTTTTCTTGCATGCCTTTATGGTAAAATTGCAACTTTTTCATGTCAATTTGCATTTATTTTCACCATAAACAATGCACTTTCCATTCAAATGCAATGCATTTCAAGTTCAGAGTCACTGGTTTGCCCTCCCTCACTGAGCTGGAGGGAAACGCTGACAATGATGTGTTTTTTGGGGCATCTGAAGAAAAAAATAAGTATGATGTAGAATGTGTGGTTTACAGTTCAAGATTTGAAAGGCTGTAGGTTTAAAGTAAACCTTTCTATTTTACAAGTTTCAGACTGAATGTTCACAAGATTACCAAGCGCTCATACTGGATGCCCAGCAGATTACCATGTACTTGCACTGGACTTTCAGCTGATTACAAATTACTCGCACTGTACGTCCACAAGAGTAATGACTTTTTTTTCTCAGATTTAAAAAAAAAGAATATTAAAGACATCAACTATAAAATAACACTAATGGAAATATGGGTAATATATATATTAGCAATCAATTAAGACTCTTAAAGGGGTCATCGGATGCCCATTTTCCACAAGTTGGTATGATTCTTTTGGGTCTTCATGAAATGTCAGCAACATACTTTTGTTAAAGTTCCTCAAAAGTCGTGTAAAACAACACCCTTTTTACCTTGTCAAAAACAGCTCTGATCACAACGACCCATTTTGGTGCATGTCTCTTTAAATGGCCGCTCCCTTCTGTTTTTTGTGTATTCGTTGATGCATTACCATCAAAAACAAAACTAATCCACTGCGTCCTCAGTGGCTCTGATGTTGGGAGAAAATAAAGACTTTTAATACTCACACTGGACGTCGAGCAGCACTGATGTGTTCTGAGTGCCGTGTTTGTTCTCAGCTCTACAGTAGTATCGTCCACTGTGTGTCGAGTCTGTATTATTGATGGTCAGGTTTGGTCTGGTCTGAACTGGATTCAGAGGTCTTTCAGTGTCTCTGTACCAGGTGTAGTTCACTGCTGGGTTTGCATCACTGCTGCAGCTCAGAGTCACTGAATGACCCTCTAGAACTAAACCAGCTGGATTTATCCTCACCGATGTGTTTTTAGGAGCATCTGGTAGAACAAAAAAAAATATGTAGGCAGGCACAATACATAGTCATATTTTACATCTACTATATACAGTAAAAGCATGTAAAATATACAATATTTTACATGCTACACTGTGCAAAATGAGTGACCTTAAATATTTGGAATATTTGTATCAGTAAAGACTCTTAATACTCACACTGGACGTCCAGAAGCGCTGATGTCCTCTGAGTGCCGTGTTTGTTCTCAGCTCTTCAGTAGTATCATCCGCTGTGTGGACATATTTTATAGAATGAAAAAAGCAAAAATGTTGGACCTGTTTTTGTTTGTTTATCCTACACACAGGTGTGCGATGGCAAATGTTGATTGATAGAATTAAAAAAATAATAATTTATTGTGTCTGAATTTATAGCTCTTTTGTTGGTATCTAAACTCTTTATTTCTAAATTTCTAGATTAGTTTTAGATTTAGATTTCTTTTCTAGATTTTTACATGAGAATACAGAACAATACTAAAGATTTAAAAAACAGGACATCTTGAACATGTTTCAAACCTTGACGTTTCAGAATCTCAAAACTACAGGAGTAAGTGTAAGTTTTACTGGATTGTGTGTAAATGACTTACCAGAGAAGAGAGTTGAAGACGACAGAAATCCTCTCGGAGCTCAAGCTGATGCTTCTACACTGAATGAAGGGAGAACTGTGTGTGAAAATGGCACAGTTTAACTTGTATTAGAGATTCACCACTTCTCCTTTAGTCAGAACTCAGTAACAGTAGCCTGACTGAGAAATCTTATCAGTATAAAGCTTTCTGAATATTCAACACATTTCTTTATATTTGCTTGAAACAATTCACTGTCTTGTGAGATCCAAGTCAAGTCAAGTCAAGTCACCTTTATTTATATAGCGCTTTTAACAATACAGATTGTGTCAAAGCAACTGAACAGCATTAATTAGGAAAATAGTGTCAATAATGCAAAATGACAATAGTAAACACTCATTTTTCAATTAAAGACAGTTCATCATTGAATTCAGTGATGTCATCATCCAGCTCAGTTCAGTTTAAATAGTATCTTTGCAATCAAGTCAACGATATTGCTGGAAATGAAGTGTCCCCAACTAAGCAAGCCAGAGGCGACAGCGGCAAGGAACCAAAACTCCATTGGTGACAGAATGGAGAAAAAACCTTGGGAGAAACCAGGCTCAGTCGGGGGGCCAGTTCTCCTCTGACCAGACGAAACCAGCAGTTCAATTCCAGGCTGCAGCAATGTCACATTGTGCAGAGGACTCGTCTGGTTCCTGTGGTCTTGTCCCGGTGGTCGTCTGAGACAAGGTCTTTACAGGGGATCTGTATCTGGGGCTCATCTAGTTGTCCTGGTCTCCGCTGTCTTTCAGGGCTGTGGAGGTCCTTTCTAGGTGCTGATCCACCATCTGGTCTGAATACGATCCAGTGTTCCAGTGATCCAGTGTTCAATGTTTATGTTGATAATAATTCTCAATATTCAGGAACAGTACCGCCGCTCCCTATACGCAGAGTAAGTTACGCTTAATAACGGCTAAATAATAAAAGTTAATAACGACTTTATTCAACAATTTGTCTCCTCCGCATCACCCTGTAGCGCCATTTTGGAGAGTATCAGCTGGATGTAAACAGCACATGCTGTTCTGTGTCAGCTGTGTCACGCCGGATCTGTTTCCTACGTTGTTGTGATTTGATCTGAACTAAAACAGCGTATCCGTGTGACGCAGCTGACACAGAACAGCATACGCTGTTTACATCCACCTGATATTCTCTGAAATGGCACTACAGGGTGACGCGGAGGAGACGAATTGTTGAATAAAGTCTTTTTTTTTTTTCTTTTGCGCACAAAAAAGTATTCTCGTAGCTTCGTATAATTGAATTGATGAACCACTGATGTCACATGGATTATTTGACCGATCTCCTTGCTACGTCTCTGGACTTTTCAGTTGCGTTGCTGTCTATGCAGGGTCAGACGAAGGTCTTACGGGTTTGAAATGACATGAGGGTGAGTAATTAATGACAGAATTTTCATTTTTGGGTGAACTAACCCTTTAATATTGACCAAACATTTAATTCAAATATACACTTAAATCCTTTTTGGACTTTGCAATAGAAATGCTACAGCCTCTATAATTTCTTCAACAAAAACATGTGGACATCACAGCCCTTACAAAAATTAACCATGGTTTTATCGTAGTAAAACTGTTTAATTTTATTTTGTGTGATTTCTGAATGCTCGAGACAATAAAATCAATCAGACAACTGTATTAATAAATAGCCATAGGTAACTGTCTAGAGTTACAACTGTAATTTATAAATAATACAACTGAATTACAATTTATTTTTTTATTTACTTTTATATGTTATTAAAGTTCTATTTTGACCCCTATAGGTGTTTTTTTTACTTCCATAATATTTGAGGGAGGGGGGCACAACAATACAATTCTGCTTAAGACACCCATTTGGAATAGACACCAGTTCAGGAATATGTATTGAATGCAAATGCAATCCAAGAACACAATGTACAGGAAACATGCATTTCTTTTCTTCTCATCTTTTGCATTTCTTATTTTATTTATTTCAGATATTATCAACATTGTTTTGCAGTAACACTTCTCATGTTCTGAATTCTGTTTTACAGTTTATCTCAACTAAGGAATGTGGGGCATTGAGGACTAAATAGTCTGCAAGCATGTTTTCTTGCCCAAGATACTGACAGAAGCGGAAAAGCAGAAGAGATTTCAGCAAAATACTGCTGTCTGTATGTAAGGCATCTGTGTATGTGAACTCAACAATACGAGCTTCTCACTTCTACAGCTATATATTTAGGCCTGTATAGTAAATGTAATTGTATCAAAGATTATTTCTTTTTGTCAATGTATTGAAGTTTATTTGTCATTGTACATTCTTTTTGTTTGCTCTTCTAATATGCTTCAACTTCATTTGTTTAGTCCTGGTTTTTCCTTAATTAGCTGCCCACTGGTCTGTATATGTCCTCTGTTAATTAGCCAATCACTGCTGCCATGCACTAATGGGTCCTGATTTATAAATGCTTGTGCTGATGCACAGTAGAGAGAGACTCTGAAACTACTTCCATGTTTGTGTGGTGTGTGCGCGTATACATGAGCAATGTAAGTTTGTTTCTTTTGTTTATATTGTGCATCGCTGACTTTGTAGCCTTAGTATGGTTCATTTGATTTAATCTGTTGTATTTTTGTTCTTGTTTTAGAGACCACACACACGCACGTACCCTGCTCCTCTGTGCTCTGCCTTCTTTGGGGGATAAATAAAGTGGTCATATGGCATTGTATTACTGGACTCTGTTCTTGTAGACACCCCTGCTGGACTCAAGCCAGACATTCCCTAAACCCTAAACTCCTTTACAGTAATACCGTATACATTTATTAATTTGACAGATTCATCATAGAGACTATAAACCCGAGAAGTGCTAGTAGCCAACATTTCAGATATGGTTAGAACAAGGACAAATTAAAGAATTTTTATTTTTTCAACAAACTATGGCTTGTTTTCTTTTTTTATGGGAATATGTGCTATTTTGTACATTAACAGTCTTTCACAGAGTTGTCATCTGCAGTATCTGTACTGAAACTGTCTGCATTAGAGTGGCCCTTATTGGGGGGTACTTTTATTTTATTTTTAAGAAATGTTAACATCTCACCCCCTTATTGGTTACTACACTAGAAGTTAGTAATGTATGCAAAATTCCATCCAGATAATTTGTCATTTAGGGTGTGCTCAAAGAATGTATCTTTATCAGCAGGTACTTCAAGAGCTGATGGTTAGAGTCAGACTTGTAACCTGAAGGTCATGGGTTCGAGTCTCAGTACCAGCAGGGATTGTAGGTGGGGGCAGTGAATGACCAGCGCACTCTTCCACCCTCAATACCCCGACTGAGGTGCCCTTGAGCAAGACACCGAACCCCAGACTGGCTGCCCACTGCTCCAGGTGTGTGTACACGGTTTGTGTGCGAGTATGTGTGCACTTTGATGGGTTAAATGCAGAGCACAAATTCTGAGTATGAGTTACCATACTTGGCAACATGCCACGACAATGGCAGAACACTCTTAACTTCTTCATTACGAGTGTTCGTTCCTGTCCGCGAGCTGGGACTCGAACTGGGGACGCCTGCACTGTCCACAAGGCTATCGGCGCCAATGTCACTTAACATTTTATCTGTGTTCTCGTTTTTAAAACAATTCACGGTTTACTGATGGTTTTGTATAATTATTAATTACGTGCTGTTATTGTCATTTAAGACTATATGAAGAATTTCAACTTTAAGCACACCTAAACGTAGTCCAATCTCAGCAAAATTTGGTTTGTTTCCATTTCTCATTAAGGAGAGTTGACTGGGAGGGTGACTGCAGAAGATTTCAAAATTCAAAAACAAGGGTCTCTCTAGTCTGCATGTGTTGTCATGTTGTCAATTATCTTAAAAGTCTCAGGCTGAAACTGAAGCCGCTTCTGCCACCTAGTGGAGCAGATGGAAACTGCACATCAGTTCCTATGATTACGATAAGTAACACTCACCACCAGAGGGCACCAAAGGGATATTTTATGTGCTTGCAAATAGTAATAGTGATTTTAATAAGACCATATATTTTGAAAAGCGTTTTTTTTTTTATTATTGTAATGGGCACTTTATTTGTAAATTCCAACTTCCACAATTTCGTAAACATTAGAATTCTGAATATCAAATTCGTTATTCATAAATGCTGATTATCCACAATTTTGTAAACTTTACAATTCTGAATGTCAAGTTCTTTGACATATAATTCTGAATGTCGAATAGTTTATTCGTAAATGTTGAACATCCATGATTTCGTCAACTTTATATTCTGAGTGGCAAATTCTTTATTCATAAATGCTGAATATTATTCATAGAAAGCCTTTTACAAAGGAGGATAGTCAGCATTTATAACAAACTTGCTCTTTCAATGCCTGTTTCTATATAATATTGTTTGCAGAGTTACATAATGGTAATT